CACCATGAACAATGAACGACCCTATCTAATCATTCTATATGTTCAAAGAATTAAGGGAAGAGAAAGACATCGAATCGACTACAACATGATCACGCAGGGGCTGTGGCGTTAGTGTGGAGGAAGGTTAGAAGTGTATAGGCAGGACTGAATGGACATGCAGAAGAGAAGCACAAGCTGTGGAGCCTGATGAGCCATGGTAACGAAGTCAAACGACAAAATAAATCGCTACTATATTTACATGAACTTCACCCTACAGTTGATGCGTGGGAGCTAAATGCAAGTATGTAATGTATGAGTGCATTCGACAGTGATCATGTTTCTTAAATTTCCATTCTCTGCGTTTCTATTACTATGTTGAAATAAAGTAATAAGACACTTTGCCTCCTCCAATTGTGGGATAAACATCGGTCCATGCTAGCAGCGTTGCAGAACTTTTACACATCAGTAATGTGTGATATACGAAAGCACTTCGTCTCGTCATGTATTCAGAGAGGGCTAAAGACGTTCGCTTTTGCTTAAAGCAAAAAGCGAAACACCATTGTTCATAAATGATGGAAACTATTCAGGAGATAAATCCAACTGCCAATTTAGTAAAAAATTGTTTTTATAAAGCTGCAAACAAGAACCTTGTATTAAATTGTTTAGGTGTTGCAATTAGGTTTCACAAGCTCTCTCCAAAATCTGGAAATAATATCAGCTACAGCAAGGCAAACTTCTATTCTTGCAAGTCTAGGTTTGGATTTTTTTGATTCTTACGGTAACATCCGCCTGCACTGTTTATGTCAGAGTGTTGATGGAGCATCAGCAGAAGCAGCTGCTCCATTTCGTCACCACTTTGGATCGATATGACAATCCACGCCATTCTCAAGCAGCTGCAGCCCCTTCCACTCTTTCTTCCACCCAGCAGTAGTCCAACAGTAAGTGGAGAGAAGGTTTGGAGAGAGGATTGTCTGGGATAGGATGAAACGGAGCGAGTGCCTACGGCTTGCAAAGCTCTCTACTAGCACGGTATTTGGACAACACCTCTTCTGAACCAGGACGAAGGCACGATAGGCGTCGTTGCAGAATGCAGCTAATGCACGATGAGAGAATAAATTGTCACTACCGGCATGCAATATGACGAGAGGTAGTGTGGACGTCTCCACTGTAGCAAAACGCCCCTCCTATTTGTTTTGCTTTCTCATCAAGCTTATCATCATTCACTGCAGGTGTCTCCTCATTCTTCACTTCTTTCGCCATCCTGCTCTTTTCTCCCTTCTTTGAATAGCGCCTTACATTCTGCTTCCTCCTGTCCTATTCTCACCTCCCTTTTCCCGCAGGCGTTCATCAGGAATTTCAGCTATTTCATGGATTGCGTTGGTTCCTTTCTATTCTTCTCAATATTAACTCACCTCTATGAGGGATGAAATTGAGTATTTGCTGCGATCTGATAAACTTTAAATCAAATGTTTCCATAGGGCTCCTTTCATCCACGTAAACATCTGTCTGAACTGCTTTGTGGCACCTTCTATTTTGGCGACCTACATTTTATTGACGTTAAAAATACACTCCATGCCTAAGCAAGAGCACCTTGTCATATGACCGACAAAATGTTGGTGTTGCCTTATAATAAGAACTTGGAGAATACACTATTCTTAGTGAGCCGTGAGCGGGCACTCGAAGTAATTTGCAGCAGCCTCCTTGCCATTGCAAAACGAAATTCGACTAATCATCTAGCTTGGATTCGACCAGGAAGTTATAGGTGATGGGGTGAATGTGATGAATAAACAATCGAAAGGTTTGAATGTTCCAGTTATTTTCTTGATATAGCCTATGAACTTGCCAGGATATGTGAATGGTTGATTCAAATTACATAAACTGTTCAAAGTCTACTTCACCGCAAAGGTGGTTTAGCGTAGTGCAACGGTCCTGCTAATATTTGATGTCGATATTGGTGAGAAAGGAAGTCATTTAATCTGTAAAGCGATCATCAAAAGATGTCATGGGTTATTAATGCGTTTCCTACTTTAGGAGAAGAGAACAGAAATTTGGAAATGTATTTGGTCAGAACCTTGTTTATTCGGATCTATATCGAGGCAAAAATCATCTATTTACCAACATCACGAATAGAAACTGGATGTGGTTAGGGTTTTGATAGTAAAGCCTTAA